GCAGGCGGAGCACGTCTGGAAGCCGCGGATGCCAGGCCAGGCCACGAGGACTTCAGGCCCAGGATTGTTCCATATTACAGAGACCCCAACAAGCCTTACAAGAAAGTGCTCAGGTAAAATCTGTTCTTTTGGCTAGCCTTTCCTTTAAGGAAGATAACTACGTATGGATTTGGTGGTGTTTGGGCTTCTAAAAATTACAGTGAGTTAACAGGCTCAAGGTGGAATGTGCTCTTTGAAATACCTTATGTGGTAACAGCATGATGCAACAACGCAATGGCTAAGATTGTTACCTTAAAGGGGTGCAAGAGAAGTGTCTAAGAAGTTAATTAAAAAAGAGGCAAGAAAAATGCCCAAGAAGATCGAGAGTATTTCTTTTATTACTGATGTCTAATAGAACATGTTAAATTATTCTTCAAAACTTCTTTAAACAGTCCATTCATTAGGAAAATTTTGAGCAATTAACAATAACGTATGTAACTTGCAAGTGGTTAGCTCTGTGTGTGGTTTGGTTTTATTTTTTCCCTTACACTAGCACAGTTTCCTAGTCCAGATAAATGATGTGAGACTGTAGCTTCCTGGAAGGAAGGAAGGAAGTGTTTTTACAAAGTGGGGTTTTTGCATGTGAGTCTTCTCTTAAAGCTCTACTTTCAGGCCTCACTGTTTCACCATTGGTAGACTCTAGCAGATAAAGACTTATCCCAAGTTACCACAAACCTTTGATTTTTGTCATCCAGCTGTTGTCACGTAGGTATGTTCTTCCTTTACAGAACTCGCTACATCCAGACAGAATTGGGATTCCATGAAAGACTGTTTGTGGCTGTGCTGACCTCCAAGGCTACCCTGAATACGTTGGCAGTGGCAGTGAACAAGACAGTAGCCCATCACTTCCCACGCCTGCTGTACTTTACAGGGTTGCGCAGTGCCAAGGTGCCTCACGGCATGGTGCTGGTGGCCCATGGGGATGAGCGTCCCATTTGGCTCATGTATGAGACCATGCACTATATCCATCAGCATTTTGGTTCTGACTATGACTGGTTCTACGTCATGCAGGATGACACCTATGCCCAGGCTGAACAGGTCAAGGCTCTGGTGACACACCTAAGTATTAACCAGGATGTCTACCTGGGACGAGCAGAGGAGTTTATTGGGGGAGATGAGCAGGCCCGCTATTGTCATGGTGGCTTTGGTTACCTGATCTCCCGCAGCCTGCTGCTTAAGCTCCATCCGCACCTGGACAGCTGTCGCAATGAGATCCTTAGTGTGCGGCCAGACGAGTGGCTGGGACGTTGCATCATTGATTTTCTTGGCATCACTTGTGTTTCCCAGCTCCAGGTACTCTCTCCCTTCTCAGGGCTTTGTGTTAGCTAAGCCTGACAGAACCCACGCTCTTACTAGTTCCCTGCTGCATAACAAAGGGGCTTTTCTGTGAACCTTTGCTGTGAGTTACAGAGGAGGGAAGGGCTGTGTGGTGTGGCAGCACTGGGGAGAGGCCCATAATCAAAACTGAGATGCTGGGGATGAGAGCACGTGCAGTATTTAATTTTCAGTCTACTAGCAGATGCTTATCCACGGGTTTTTGGAGGTTGGATAAAG